ATGCTTTTCATTTGCTTGTTTAGTGGATACTTTTATGGGCCATGTATTTGATTAAGCCCTCTGCTGAAAGTTCATGTGAAGTCTTGATGGCACTGAGTTTTTTCTTTGCCTTGCTCCATTATTTCATTTTCATGTAATTATCTACTTGGTCTCAGTGGTCTGAGAAAACTTACTGTTAGATGTTACATTTCCCCAGTCTGCACTTTGAAGTAAGGCTTGGAGAGGGGTTGTTGGTCACTCTGATGCAAACATGCACAAGGGCTGTTAACCATTTAACTCCCATGAGTGACCAAGACATAATTTCTCCTTACTATACCTATACAATATCATGCAGACAGGTGATGAGAAAAAAGAAAAATACCAAATTCTCCAAACTAACATAATGAGAATCATTTGGCAGACAGTGAGGAGTACTATTACTGAGATCTTGGGAGTTTAAGGGTTAACATTTATTCTTAAAATTTCGGGTTTTTCTAATTGTAACACCACCAGTACTCTTTTTGGGATAATTGTTTGTTTTGTTAGACTGCAGTCTGTCATCCTTTGAATTTTGATTTTAATTGATCCAGGTTGCAGTCTTCTACGTAACTATGATCTGATGGACACAGTGGGCTCTGTCCTCATTACAAAAAGGTTTAATAAATTCATTACTGAATCAGTTTTGATACTCAGAGAATTGATCAACTTTGTCATAATATAGTTTTATAATTGTTATTTTATAGCTAAATAAATTTCGTTTTGCAATATGTAAAATTGTGATACTCATTTTTTGAAGAGTCATCATAAGCAATCATTCGCAGATGATTGCACAAATCCACATAAACATAAATTAAAGATTGCACAAATCCACATACATATAAATTAAAGATATAAAGTTTAATATTAGTAGCTTGTTAACCTGTTCAGTGTTACACTTTTCTTTCAACTTTCATGTTGACCCTCATCGGATTTTACTTAATTGTCACTTCTCCTTTAAATAAGGGGAATGTGGGAGAGAAAAGTTACTGGTGTGAATCAAAGCGTCAGAATCTTGTGCAACATCAATTACATCAAAAGGCACTTTATATGCCTCTAGTTGAGTGTGCATGTGTTGTTGATGTTTTTTAGTCTGGATAATGAAAGCAATAAACTAGTCAAAGGAGATCAAGACAAGCAAATGAAAAACAAAAAAAAAGGAATAAACAAAAGTAATTAACTGGTATAAAATGTTGCAAATCAAACAATGTAGAAGCGTTAGAATGGACACAAATGAGGCTAGCGTTAAGGCAAAAAGTGTTCATTCTTAGCTTAAAATCAAATGATTGTACTTTATGAGTCAACTCAAGTAACTAAATGATTTGTATTTTATTGTCAAATTTTATGGATCAAAAGCAACCATTTCTAATTTGTCTTCATGTGGAATGAATAAAAATTACTATAAATTTTTATACTCACTTTAAAATGGCTACTATTAAAAATTAAGAAAATTTTTGGGAATAAGAGTCAAGGGGTTGATTTTACTTAAAGTTTGTTCCTTAAAGTTTGGGAAATACTGCCCATAGAGTACATACCAGAGGGTCAATTTCTATTTCTGACACTCTCAAGCCTAGTATTCTTTCTGTCATCGAGCCTGCAGAATAGAGCAGGAGTATAATGTAGTTTATGTAATATGAAAATAGAATTTTTAATGTTTGAGTTCAATAGGTAGATTTAGTTGCTTTGGGTTGAGAGTTTCCATACTTGTAAATACATGTTTAAATACAAATTAATCCAAACCAATTTAGGGATTTACGGGGTCAACAGTCTATAGAAACCTTGGTGACACATGGTTTTGCTTCTTTCTGCAGTACGCATTTTGCTTTCATCCACTACACATACATGTACATTTAGGATGAGCCCTTAAAACCAAAATAAAAGAAAAATTTATGATTCACAAACAACTGTTGTGGAATCAATGGCAAAGAGGAGACTAGAGCTTCAAGGACAGTGCATTTCTAGGTCTACTGCAACATTAATCTGTTCCAAAATATCTCTGTCCAAAATATGAGGGGCAGTCTGAGTGCACCTCTGACGTCAGAATGGTAACAGATGGAAAGTTTTTCAGTAGCTGCTTCACACCTACAGAAAAAAATCATACCCGTAAAAAATCTGGATGGTGTAAAACAATAAGAGAATTCCCATTATTCATTGCATTTAGAGAATTTTGTCCATCAAACTGCATCATACACTATGGCATATCAAGACTCTTTTAAAGGGTAATTTTAATTAATGTCTGTTGGTCCAGATCATGTCCAAGGAAAAACTATGGGTACTAGATTTCATGTAAAGGAAAGGTCAAACAGAAATTAATTAATTCATATATTAGTTAAAACTCTTGTACTCTTTCGAGTTAAAATATCTGCCATCTAATCTGCTTCTTTTCAGAGCACTGTGAAAGATGTCTAAGGCTGATAGAAGAGCAGCACCTTAGATTGGAATCTAAATTCACTGAAGCCAATCATTCATCAAACATACTCACCATTTGGGGTGGCAAATACATTTAAAAGAAGAATGTTTTCCTGTTTAACACCATGATCAAGAAGAACCTTGATGGCTGTTATTACAGTAGCTCCTGAATCTGCTGAAAAAGATCAAAGGACTATCATCACCCCTTCTCATAAATTTCTGTCATGAAACAATGTCTCTCCTTTATCTAAGTTCAGTTTAAAAAAGAATTGCTCTAGATGAACACAAACCAATTAATATTCAATTTCACAACGGAGTGAAAACTACATTTCAACTGTGAATTTCTACACTGTCATAAAAGATATTACAGCTTATTAGTGGAACCTTCTCATTTGGCAAGAACTGACTGAATGTTTGTGACTTGTGTAACAAAAGAATCAAACAATGATTAAGCAAATATAAAAATGCATACTAAACTGCCAGTCTTTTCAAGGATTTCTGGCCCTGAGAAAAGCTGTAACAGTACATGTGGAAAGTTACAATAATTATTTGCCAATTAGCTGCTGACAAGTTGCTTGCCTTTCATGCGCCTCTGTCTGGTTGATTAATGAATTAAGTCTACTTTCCTTGTCAGTGAAGGCTTATGGTGTTTGTATGATAAACAAAGTAATAAATGGTTTGTAGATGTGGAATTTCTCTTTGAGTGATCAACTGAATTTCTCACTAGTGTAATGCCCTCACTTGAGAAATGTTGAGTTGAACACTTGAAGAGAAATTCCTTCTCTGTGCAAGCCCATGTAGTATTTTCTTTGTAATAATTAAAGAAGAATGAAACTTGTGTACTCACTTAGGAGAGGATACATAAGAAGAACTTTTCTTTGATCAATACCAGGAGGGAACTTTGCATAATAAACCTTGTATAAAGAGGATACAAAATAAATGTGAATTATCCCTTTTACTCCCAAGATCTCATTTAATTCTTACTGTCTGCTATACGATGTTAGTTCTGAGAATTTGGTATTGGATCAACTTAGGACCATCTCATGGATATTTTTCTCCATTCTCATTACTTGTCTGCTCGATATTGAAAGGAGAAATTCCCCCTCGGTCACTCATGGGAGTTAAAGGGTCAACTTTAAGTTAATACCAGTAAATGCAATGAGACTTGATATTGCATAAAATAGCAATTTTGTAAAAGTGGAAAACAAATTCATAGTCATTATCATGATAAAGGTAAAGAATCTGAAGTGTCGGCCAACACACTACCAGCATTGGCCGTTACACTACCAATGCATTGGCCAACAAACTGCCAATGCATTGGCTGACACACTACCAACATGTCAGCCAACACACTACCACTGCATTGGCCAACACACTACCTACATGTTGGTAAGATTGAATGCATAAGACCACCCTCATAAGAAAAGAAATCTAAATCACTGCCATTTTGAGAATGAAACACTAATACCTAGGTCTTCTCCTAGTGTTTTTTTTTAAGGGTTGGGAGTTAGCATGTTACATGTTGGTAAGCTGGTCACACTAGAATGCACTGTTTAGCTATGTGCAGCTCATGTTGTGGTGAGAGCTGCAGAACAGCCAAAGTCTCCAGAAACTGAGCCAAACTAAAAAGCCATTTGTACTAACTGAAAAAGTCAATCCAACGTAATATAATTGCAGTGCTTTAGGTGATAAAAAGTTAAAAACTCGACGACGGGTGTCGGTTTGGAATATTAACGTGTCCTTAAGGAAAAATATAGGAAATGTTCATCTAATGCTCAGTTAGGATAAGTAACTGAGTAGGGACTGGGTTCCAATAACACGACAAACAAGATGGCGGCCAAAAGGAAATTATTCATTTTCATTTAGTGAGTGAAAGTTTTCCAAAGAGATGACTATGCTTATTCTCCGTACTGTTCTCTATACATTTCCTAAGGTGTTGAGAAGGGAGAATTTGTCTAAAAATCAAAAGCTAATCTTAAGTTGGTGAGTAAAATTCATAGAATATAAAGATAACAAGACAACAAGCAGGGGTACTTCAGGAAAGCCTTGGATTGAAATTTGTTTGATTCCAAAAAAAAAAAATTTTACTTCTTCATGGACACAATATTAGTTATTCGATTAAAAGAACTAAATTCAACACTCATTCAGATATTCTTCAGTTGTAATCTTTTTGATGAGTAAATGGAAACTTAATCATGTTATTCAGGATGTTTTTCTAATTCAAGGAACTAGCCTACCAGCCTACCTGCCTACCATGAAGAAATAATCTGGTTAAATTTCATGGCCTGGGCTACTTTTCATTTAAACATGAAGAGCATTATCTTTTCTTGGGAAAGGAATAATAATATAGTTATAGTAATAAGGAAAAAGTATTTCATGGATGAGGTCTTTCCATATTTCTCAGTTGTATGCAAAGTAAACAATGAATAGCCTGATATAACTGCAATACCTTTACTTGAATGAAAGACAGAAAGAGAACAAACAATTTTGTACAAGTAACTCAATTTGGTTAAATCACAATATGTATGTGTTATTGACCAAGTGTGAGGTCAAATTGGCCAGATATTAGCTAAGTTCTTTATTTGCATTTTTATAGACCATGAGGAAGTTGAGTCAGAAAAGGAACAAGGCTAACATGCAGCCATCTTGACTGAACAAGCTTGGTCAAAAAGAATTTAGTATTTAGCAAAAAGATTTCACTTTATCAAGAATCAAGAATGATACTTTTATTTCAAGAGCAGGAAAGAAAGCCAACTGCATTAGTGTGTTTGGAACACAATAAACCCTCCAGAGTCATCAACATTTTCTTTGTTTTGACTGTTTTCTACCACTTTTTGCAACTTCATCCCCAACACTGCAATTGTTTGCTTGTGCGGGATCAAAGTGGGCAATCCTGAGCAGGCATGATGGGTCTATCTTGCCCTCTTAGGTAGCCAATCAGAACACAAGATTCCCCTCTTATTGCCCACAAGCAATGCAAGCGATGCGATAATACACTGTACAAGTCATACATGGACATAACAAGAAAAAACTAATTTATAAAACATAGCTGTAAAAACCCTGAGCATACAAAAATTTCAGTCAGTTTGTGTCTATTTATTTGCTGAACAAATAAATGATACATTGTTGTTTATAATTTTTTCCTAATTTCACACTAACCACTTCGCATAATGCTGACACCACAGTTTCCTCTCTGAAAAGCTAACCCTTCATATGAGGCTCCTGTGGAGATAAAAGAATAAAGTTAAGGGAATTGTAGAGGACCTTTGTTGCTATAAGTTCAGTCTATTATAATTTGAATTTCAAGCTATAGATATGAAAAAATAGTCCAAATGTCTAAATCTTTAAATTATTGACACTTCCAAAGAAGAAAAAGATCTTACCAGTGGGTGTCTTCACTGTGCAGGTTTCATATGGAAGCTGGTTCAGACCTTCCTCTACCACCAGTCTTATCTGGGTAAGAATAAAAATCAGTTTTAACTATTAACTACTGAAAGATGAAAACCAGGCTAAGTCTTACATTGACGCAGTGTGTTAATTCACTCACAAGGCGATCAGCATAAAAGACAAAGTCTCCTCTCTCTGTTTCTCTACAAAGACAAAAGGTAGTAAGCAATGAGGATTTGCAAACATCACCTTTCAGTTAAACGTATTGAAAATGGGGGATGTCAGAAGGTAGACCACTGGTTAGTCAAAAGTTAATGTTATGCTGAGCCAAAAATACAAATTTAGAAATAAGCAAATTGGAGCACAAGAGGACAATCTTTGTAGTAATGGAAAAATAAGAAGTTTCCTCCTTTTTCTATGTGGAGCATATCACATCGAAAACGTAGCCTCTATCCCTACCAACCCAATGCGCCCAAGGTCAATGAAGTATGACGTGATTTTATGTATTCAATGAAAGAGAGACAGGTAAAAAAAAGGCACACACACACACACACATCTAGCCAGCTCCTCAATAAAAGGGTCATCTAGAAAGGCACCTTAATTCAACTCTCGATCTTGAACTTGACTCAGCTGTGAATTTAATGATAGCTTGAAAGCATCTCGTAATGGCCATGCAATCACTCGTGAATTCATTTAAGTTTAACTAATTTTTAGACGTCGAAGATAGATTTGCATCGATCCTGTTGGCAGATTTAACCAAGAAAATAAGAACCTACTTGTCTCTCAAAATTGTCTGTAGCTCTCGAACTTGATCATTTATCTGGATTATTTTCAGTTGTGAGCCAAATTCGTCTCTCGTAGCCGTCACCGGCGGTTTTTCGTCGGGTGCTGCCGAAAGTCCATTCAAAAGTTCACCGTTTTCTGCGGCAATGTTACATTTCCCGGTCGTTTTAGAATCTTTTCGTTTTCTACGCGTCTCATTTTCTTCCTTACAGCTCAAAACGTCGGGCATTTTCGACAAAATAGCAGTAATTCATGCCCAAACCTTCCACGCTACCCACGACACAACTAAAACACGTTTTGAACGAGGTTTCGAGCCTCGTTCCAGGACAAACCGCGCTAATACCGCGATCAGCTACTCGAATCAGATCGCAAGACTTAGTGCTCGTGCCGAAAAAGATCGGATTTTTGCACGCTGCTGAGTATGGCGAAACATAGTATTTTTGACTTTCAATCGCCCGATGCTGACCTAAAAGACGATGTCCTAAGGGGCCGACTGTTCGAAATTTTAAGAAAATATGCCAGTGGTCCTGTTATATCAACTGAACTGGAAGATGGCAAGAGCTGTTTGTTTATCTTCGTTGGAGAAAATGGGGGGTAAGGAAAGTTAACTATATAAACTTTCAGGAAGTTGGGTTAAACTGCAAAATGCCAGGTTATGAAGCTTACCCTTGGCATAGATTTCCCTCTTCGTGGAGTTTTAATCACTGTAACTAAAGAATCGGTCGCATGGGCTTGGTGTGTGTGATCCTAAATGTCTTGGTTGGTCGCGCGATGAACAAATACTTTGCAAAATTGGTGGAAGGGGGCCGTGGGGAGAGGGGGAATAGGTAAAAATCATAGTAGGAGGATACCTAAGTGCAATAGTTAAAGTTATTAAATAAAGTCCCTCTATGTCTAAAAGTGAGTGACAAAAACGAATCATTCTGACTAAAGCCAAAACGTGCCTAATCAACCATGCCCTCGAGTGTTATTCAAGCTTACGAAATTTAAAGGACAACTCGTGCATTAAATTGAATGTTATTCGCCAAATTAGGTTGGCTTTCTATATTGAAGATATCTTTTGCAAAATCTCTAACGGTCATTGACTGGAATATTTTTTCCTTTTATATGCTATCAATGTCAAGGGTAGTAATGGACACTTTAAAAAGCCTCAAAAAGGAACTATGATCTTATCACTTCTAAGAGCAGGAAAATTTCAGAACGTTCCATTCCAGTGCTTCCAGTCCCTAGGAGATATCTCTTCGCTGAAGAGGGTTTTATGAGGCATCCAAAGAACTATGATACTGAAAATTGCTACTGCTAAACATTTTGACATTGACTTAAATTTCCTCTTTCTTTTCTCATTATAACTTGTATTTATTAACAGTTTATTTTACTTAATTTTTAGACCAGGTTAGGAAGGACCATCATGTGAACTTAACTGACTTAACCATCTGTTATAAATGTCACTCATTGTTTAAAATGTTATTAATATTATTTATTTACTTAGTGGGCTTGTTTTTTGGAAGACAAAACATACCATTAATATTTCAGTCTAGTTTTTTGGGTTTTCTGATTTTCATATATTACATTAAACTTATATTTTCCCAATATTTTTATTTTCTATAGACATTGGATTCTGCGAAGTTTCTCCACCGGTTTGATAACCTTGGATGTAATGCAATGTGGGAAAGAAGAAATATTGTCTAAGGATGTAAGATTTTATCACATGATCTATTCAATCTTCAGCTAAGAATAAATGAATATTTTTCAACTAAGTAAGTCTTGACCCACTTAGTCACTGTGTTACTTGGTTGCTTCAAACCTTTACACCCTAACACCAATATTTATAATTTCTCTGTACTGTTCTCTATACATTTCCCATGGTGCTTACAAGGAGAATTTGGCTAACAATCAAGAGCTTCTTTACAATTTGGTGATCATTTCCTTTATTCTTGTGATCTTAGTGTTTGGTTCAAAGGTTATAATGTAAGGGTGATCATGTAAGGAGAAATTAGAAGTCAGTCACTCCAAGGAATAAGGGTTGAATAAACTCCCATCTCTAGTAGAACTGTACTTACAAAGGTAATCTTTTTTTTCCCTTTTCTGGAAGAAATCTTGTAAAGGTTCATTAGGTGATGATGTTTAATGCCACATTCTTTCCCTGACAAGAAGGACAATTTTGGCACAAAATGTGATGTTTAATGAACTGACTTTTGTGAAGTATACCAAATATGCTCACTACTGTTTAGGGGTATAGGAAATTCAATGCCACTTGCATGTACATGTAGTTTAGTCTTTGGAAATTATGAGTGCCTTCTATATTGGTCAACATGATAAACATTCTTTAAACATCTCAGGTGTTCATGATCTTCCAAGTTGGAGACTAACATGAATATTCTCTTTTATTTGGAACTTCAGACTTTAAAAAGTATAGAAAAGGAGATCTGCAAAGTTCTTTCAGCTGAGAAGTCACTGCATTTGCCACCGATAAATCGAGGAGCTAAAGTTAACACCTATTATCCAACTGTAGATGATCTTCTAATCCAGTATGACTTTGACAGGTACGAAAACCTAATTACAGTGCTCAGTTAGGGATGGTGGCTGGAATTTGTAATGTGGAGTATATCACTTTTGACTACATCTTCCACAAATTGATTATACAGCTACACCCTGCATTATGATTCAATGAAAAGTGGGAAAAGCATTAAAAATATATGGAGAAGGGAAAAAAAAGGCAGAGCACGCTGCTTGTAAAAGAGTTTCCTATGGTGTTCTAATTTTAAGACATTTGTTCTAGTTTATGATATAAATTAGATTTTTAAAATGTAATTTTAGTTTCAAAATATTATTATTTTTATTTTGATACTGGGCCTTTATGGATACCAGCCTTCTCAAACTGATTGATAAGAAATTGTTTTTTTTAGTTTCTAATGTGTTCCTTTCCTCTTTGATTTAGATTAGAATTTGAAACCAATTCTCCCTACCAAAACATCAAAATTCTTCACTCCCAGCAGTTTGGGAATATACTTATTCTAGATGATGACATAAGTAAGTATTTTAGACCTGCAAAATAAGGCTTTAAAGTTTTTGTTGCCGCTCTCTTTGTAATCATACACAGTCATTATTTCAAGAGATGATCTGCCATTTTTTTAGGCACACATAGATTGTCATCAGATGAAAACAACATAAAACAGGGAAACATTATTGACAGAAGAAAATACTCAACTTGCTCTTACATTGTACACAGAATTGTGATGACCATTAATAATACTAGCTTCTTTGCACAGATCTTGCTGAAAGTGACTTCATCTATACTAAGACAATAACAGGAAGTGGCAGAGAAGTCTTTAAGGACAAAACCATTCTTATTCTTGGGGGAGGGGATGGTGGAATTCTAAATGAACTCCTGCAATGCTCCCCTGAGTTTGTCACAATGGTTGATGTATCCTTTGAGTAATCCAAGCAACTTTGGAAATTGTATTTTGAAATTTTTTTCTTATTAGGAAACATGTTTTCCCTGTAGGGAAGTTCCAAAACAAGCATGTTGCTTTCTTTTCTTTCTAAACTGTTACACCATGAATGCAGCTGATTAAGCCACACATTTTTTCCCAATATTTTTGTAATAAATTAGGGGTGCAGCTTTGGCCACAAGAACATCTGAAAAATGTGCTACAATTTGCTTGAATTAACATTATTGATCTGAAAATTTTAAGTGTGCTTAGCAAACAACTAGGAACTTCATAAAAATATACAACAATAGAAATTATATGTACAGTTTTAAGCTGTTAGTTCATGTGTCTAAGCTGGCTGCATCAACAGGAAATTTTCAATTTGCTTAAAGTTGTATTACCATATGCTTGATCCTTAATTTATCCATTTTTTAAACTATGTAAGATTGATGAAGATGTGATAAACTGTGCTATAAAGTATTTACGAGGGATATGTGGAAATGCTTTAGACAATCTCTCTGGTGAACATCACAAGGTTTGTTGCACCACAGGTTGAGCTTAGAAATTTATGTAATTCATGATGCCATTTGTGGTACTTACTACCATTTCAAGAAATAGTGTTTGACATGAGGAGGACTCAGCCTCATCCTATTGTCCCGTGCTAATTTTCTTCAGAAATTATCTTTTTTTGTCTTCAGTACACCCTTCTTGTGCCGCCTTGAATGGATTTGGGCCCAGTTTTATAAAGGGTAGATAATGCTATCCAACCAATAAATTGCTATCCGGCAGATAAGTGATGGCAAAAGGTATAGTGTTATCCACTGGATAGAGATTTATCCTTTGGATGGAGTTATCTGACCTTCAAACAACTAGGGCCTGAGGGATAATGTGTATAAATTTGGTTTTGGACATGTGATGTGCTTTGTAAACAGAATGGTCTCATCTCAATGACACTAATAGTGGTCCAATTAACTTCTAAAATCACAAACTCAAAGTTTGTTGTTATTCATATGTATTAATTATATACTGAACAGTAGTCATTAATGATGATAATTGGTCAGTACATTTTCATAGGTACACATTGGTGATTGCGTGAAATATTTAGAGCAGTGTATAGAGGAAGGCAGAACATTTGATTATGTCATCAATGATTTGACAGCAATTCCTGTCACAAAGGAGCCAATAGGTATGCTAAGATAAGGGAATCTCGTTTCTTTCTTGGTAACAATTATTGAGTGAGTAGGCAAGCTGGTCACATTCTCCAGTAAGATAGGATGTGTCTTGACCTTTTTTTTCGCAACCCTTTAACACCCTATTGTGATTGGCCTCTAATTTCTCCCCAAAGTATAACCCTTGAATCATATGTAAAGATTGAGTGAGTTATGAAAATGATCACCTACTTAAGAGGCTCCTGATTGTCAAATGAATTCTCCTTGTCATTGACACGGTAAATGTGGAAATATCAGTGTGGATAATATGAATACCTATGTTAGGGTTTATTGGATTGAGAGATTCCCCGTGCTGATCAAGAGGTCTGAGCATGAGTGTGGGTAGGGGTTGCTTGGTGCTAATAGGCAAGACACGTTGCCCTCTCACAGGCTCTCTCCACTGGCAAATAGTTAAATGGGTCTATGCACCTAGAAACTGTGCAGACAACTTGACCCAGTGTCATGGGGTAACTTCTAAACTAGCTAAATGAGTCGGTCATCTACGCAAATTTTCTATGAAATGGCATGTCTAAAATTTCTTACCTTAGAGGTCTCAAACCTTCTTGTGTATCTCTGCCTTTATGAGAAGGAAGGAGCAATTTATTTCAAAATACTTGGGCACAGGGACTTGACAACAAGCTGCCTTGATATTTTGTACTTTGCTTGTTTTCTTTTTATGGTGTAATACTGATAAATGTTAAGTTGAAGTGTAAATTTTAGTAAGAGATCCTAATGTTTTCATCTGCTGTTTTGAAAGGTTCCTTGTGGGAATTCTTAAGACTGATTCTGGATATGTCGATGAAGGTGCTGTCACCTAGTGGGAAATATTTCACCCAGGTTTGTAAATTTCATTATTTTACATCATGAAATCTGTACTGGTAATTGTGTGTATATACTCAGGGAAAACTCTCAGCACTAAAACTAAACCTTGCACTCTTTTGTTTACATTAGACATAGCTTCTTTGTTGCATGTACTGTGTGATTCTTTTTCTGTCAAGAAATAGTAAACGTAACTCATTGACGGTGGAATGAGCACCTTCTAGCCTGTTAATTACGAACCTTGTAAATAGGAGACAAATAGCACAAACAGGACACAACGTTGGGTCTATGAATTGTAACTTCTTCGGTTACATTCATTAACTCTATAAACCAGAGTAGCATCAAACCATTTCAGGAAAAAAGTAAGACTCATTACTGCAGCCTCGTTTCTGGGAAGAACATAGACCCTGGGAACGAGGCTGTCCCAACTGTCAAACCAACTGACTGCTGAAAGAAGAACAGTAGAAAGTTTGAACTCAGGTTAACAGAGAACAAAGATGCTTAAGTGTCGTTATGGAAAATTTAACCCTTGCACCTCTAGACTCTCTTCTACCACCTTTGAAGCAATTGGTCATGTTGTATCTTGCCTAAAGTAATATCATAACGAAAAATCAGCCTTATTGTACTTTAAGACTATATATGTATATATATATTTTTTATTTCCAGGGTAACAGTTACAATAAGCCGGATGCTTTACTAATGTACGAACAACAGTTAACCAAGCTGTCTTGCCCTGTCCAATTCAGAAAAGAAGATGTCTTTGTTCCATCTTACCACGAAAAGTATCCTTTGATCATCTAACTACACCGTTTTCCCCTTGTGTCTTTGACCACATTTCCATTGTAGTTTTGCATTCATAGTAGGGTTTACAGTTTGGGGTTTTGATTAAAAATTATTGGAACCGTGTGGCCTATAACTGTCCTTGCTTATACCCGGTTTCGTTGCCATGGAGTTACGAGGGTGATGTTTAAAGCCGAATAAAGGGGTAAATTTCTAAAGAAACTGTGGTGCTGCGTTGGTGGGAGAGTATAACAGGGTAATTCAGTATTATCAACGGAGTTGATAACGTAAATTGGCTACCATTATAAGAGTTTCAAAGCTGATTTTTACAGCCTCTGGAATGGAATGCTAGTACATCACAGGTTCATGTACCCGCCATGTTTTTTGTCACATTTCCGTGACGGTTCTCTCGCATCCATGTGAACTTCTGGGTGGAGAAAGACAGGTTGAAGGTGAAGTGTCTAGTGTTATGTTCATTTTACCAAAATGAAATAACCCAGCTATTTAAAGTCGTTACATTTGACTAAGATAATAAAGCGTCTTAGTATGAAGAGCAATGGCGCGTTGAAAAGGTTGAACAGCATAGAAACATCAGATCCGCTTCAAGGTTTGTAATTATGTTCTTAACTCTATAAAAACCCTATATAATCATGATATATTGGCTCCTTGACTTATTTGATCCAGATGGGTATTCTACGAAATATGGAAGACGAATGAAAGTACACTCTCATAATACCAATTGTAAACTGAGCTTAATTGATGTCTTACTGGAGATGAAAGTATCGAAACCAATTGCATTTTAGCCGAAATTAGCTTAGTTTGAGGCACTAAACCGTCAAACGACTATTTTTAACAAAGAGACCTTGGAACATAGTTAAGTCATCGTTTTAAATAATTTATTATACAACCGTTGTAATAGAACACGCATACCCCCACTAAAATCGTTGGTGTTTATTGTCATGAATATTAAACAACAATCTATCAGCCCGCTTCTATGTAGCTACCTACTTTGCGTACATTTTAGCATGACTGCTTGGCTTAGTTTGTCGTCGTGAAAAGAGAAAACTTACACCGAGGCATAGATGCCGTAATGATTTCTCAACGAGCGAACACTCAACTCCCAATGCCTTGTTGAAGGAACCGAAACGAGATAACCTGTGTCTGATACAACTCCCGCTTGCTACGCATGGTTATCTCGAGCCACGAGTATTTTGAACTTCTGTTTAGGCCAATTCGTCTTCCTAAACATTTATTTGACCCCGTCGATCATTTGAGCTTGTTGCTGATCCCCATAAGCTTAGAGAAAGCTTCTCAAATCAAGCCCAAAGGAAAAATGAACAACAAGGCCTACAGCTAACTTGGTCCTAACCGGGATTATCTTTGTAAGTATAAATAAATGGTGAGTAGGGCTACCCTCTCCCCAAATAAAGAAGAAACAAAGACAAAGTAACTTTACAATTAGCTATTACAACTTATAATGTTAAATTCCTGCCCTCTCCCCTCCTGAAAAGTATCTCCCGTGATCTATGTTGGTATGTGTGGACTCGTAAGAAAATGAATCGAATTCTCGTCTCTCTCTTAAGGTGAGATTCATAGGGCTATCTTTAAGGTTAAGGTAGCTTCAAGGTTGCCATTAGAGAAGTAAAAAAATGCATTTGTGTTATTGTGATGCGGCAAGTTTGAAGGGTTTGAAGATTGTAGGGTGGGCTCTCGGCGACTTCTGAGCGAGAGAAATCGTCTTTCAAATCATGGTCTAACTCTAACTTGTTTGTGTATGTTAGACCAGTAGTGTGTTTTCATGAGAAAACATCATGTGAGCTTAAGGTCTTTCTGGACTTGAAAAAGGTAATAAAACGACGCAAAGATTGGTCTGCCTCATTGTCAGTTAACCAAACCTCAAAGTCATGACGATTGAATACTGAAGAAACATCTTCAAGAAAGCATCCACTTTGAAAGACCATAATAGTCATGAAAGGATTGTTCCTTTGGCCCAAGCCTCCTCTATCTCTCAGAGGAACTGTGACGTCAGCACTACGTTCACAGCGGCTCGCACACTTTCAACCCCCTTATAATCAAAGACGAATTTCAATACAGTTATTGTCTCAGAGTCAGCCATTGTGTTTCCAGTACTAGTCGATAGGAAACGTTTGATAAGAGTGCCCTTGACTTATTTCGCCCGAACTTCTTCGTACACCGCCTCTCGATTTACTACGTTCTGTTACAAAAAGCGAGCTCATTCACTCTCATTCAATTTCATAAGATGGCTTCTAATAATTCTGGCGAAGGAGCAGAAACCGTTGAGATCACTGAGTTAAATGCTATCAAAAGCATAAAAAACGATGAGATAATCGTTGAAAAGGGTAAGTTATATTGTTGAAGAGATTTTTCAAGTTATCCTGAACACGAGAGATGTTGGAAAGTACACTTACACTGTTTAAGCCTCCACCTCCCGCCTCGAATTATGAAATCCGATACAGCAAAGCACTCGAATTGTTCTCGTTTTGAGACCAGAGTGCCTGTAAATGGGCGCACTGAATATCAATGAAAAATCAGAATATCATGAGAAATTTTACTTGACTATGTATGGTAGCGAAGAAAATATGGGGAATGACAGAGTGGGATGCTAGGGAGTCCTGTACGCTTTTAATCTAAACACTTACGGGCAATAAAATAAGGAAGATGGCGGAATGAATGTGAACCAACGGGCCATATTACATAGTCGATGGGCGTCGTATTATATTTAGCAAGACTCAGTATCAGCCGCAAGAGTGATTTCATCGATACTCTGATGTAAAACTGACACGATTTTAAAGCTCTTGGCACAGACACGAAGGCCTAATTAGCATTTTAACAAGGCTAAATTGAGCAGAGGCCATTCTGCAATTAACATAAATGTCACGCAAATGTTTCGAATGATAGCTTTGTTTCCAGTCAGTCCTAAAAGCCACTTTCGGTAGGAGCCGTTCCTATCCATCAGTGAATGATATAACTGCCATATTCTTTATCAGAGGTCATATGTTTGCTCCTTCAGTGATAGAGGTTTGTAAATTGATCAGTCACGTTCATGCTCTATTTTTGTGGGCTCCGAGTTTTCTGTGAATAGAATTCTGTACTTCCGGCCAGGCTTCGCTTTTAGCTGGTCTATCATCGGCGGAGATGACCCTACGCTAAATTCTTAACAGGTTGCCTCAAATGATTTATATTTTTTGCCCATGAAGAGCATAGCAGACGGGAAAGTGTATCACTGTTTCCCTGTGTCGTGAGAAGTCTCTAATTAATATGGTTTCTTCGTAAGCAGGAGCTGATTCAAGTGACGAGAAGAGAGAGAAAGCAAGACATCATTTCTCTGAGCCGTGGGAAGACAGTGATGTGATTCTAGTTGTGGAGAATGAAAACTTTCATGTTCATCGCCTGATACTGAGTATGAACTCACCAGTGTTCAAAGCGATGTTCAAATCTCAGTTTAAAGAGGCAACCGCCAACGAGATTCCACTGCCTGGGAAAAATGTAAAGGGAGTCTTGGACTTTTTGATGAAAATTTATGGGCCCCAGTATACAAAAAAAGAAGTGGAATTCACAAGTAAGAATTATTAGGACTGTTATCTTTTTTTTTGAGAAAAATGACCCGAAAGAACTTCGTAGACACCTATGATTTATTCAACAAGGGAAGAGTACGATTCAACAAATTAAGCAACCCGATCAGTCCACTAATTTCTCGTTATTTACACAATATTGAATCTTAGTGGAAAACGTGGAACAACTTATGCAGTTGAGTGACGAGTATCAAGTAACAGAACACATTTTCCAACCTTGTGTGGAGTTCCTTGAAGACGAACCTAAAACTAAGGAAAATGTCATGAAGATTCGAGCGCTTGCGGAGTTTTATGACTTGGAGAAAGTGCGTCAAGACTGCGACAAACTGCTCAAGGGTATGACGCTGGGGACTCTCTCTAAAACCGTCCAGTTTGAAAATGTTGAGAAGGATAAACTGCAGCATTTTCTGACGCAGAGGATTGAAGTGCTAGAAGGATATCTGGAGAAATTGTATCTACAATTCATGGGCCTCTTGGAGGGTTGTTTGCGGTTGTTCCATGAGGATAGACAGTACCTGCTGCAATGGTGTCCTATTCATTTCAGCAACGGAAAAGTTAAAGCAAGAATCAAACTTGATGAGTGTATCAAGGGTTGTAAAACTTGTCAAGGAATGTTGGGTCATTTTGCTTCAAATATCTCTCTGAACTTTAATGCCGAAAATAGTTTGCCAAGTATAATTCAGAGATACTCTCAGGTAATGGCTTTATAAATTAAATATCAAGAGATGTATCGCCAATATAACTTAAGTTAACAACTTACTAAGATTCGGTGTACATTTTCTCGAACTATGTAGCACGAACATTTATTTTAAGATCATTGTTCTGAAATACCTGATAACTTAAATTGTGACTAGCATCATGATATTCATGCATGGTTCTCACGGAGTCGTGAAAAAATGAGCTCCTGATCATTCGGAAACAATTAAAATAGGGCTTATACTCCAGCGTAAAGGGGTTAACTTACAACTGAATTAGGAGAAATTTGTGAAGCATATATCAATTAAAGGTGAATTTGAAGAGGATAGAGTTTTTCGATGAAACATGGATTGTACACGGGGTTAAAATTAAATTTGGAAAAGATATTCGGTAGAAATTGTGAAACATGCACAGATTAAGTTACTTTACGGAATCTTTACATATCTATTCTAAATAGTTCGTAAAAACGAATTTTTTGAGAAGAATTCTTTTAAAAAGTCATTTAGAATCCTTTCTCTGGCTTCGACAGTTAACGGTTTGTTATGTCACCTATGCATGCATGATCAGACAGATGATCCTCTTAGAAGAGGATGTGGACATTTGTACTGAAAGAGTCAATGACTTGTTACTGGCTGTTGCTGATATGTGTATCCAACCTTTACTATGAAAAAGCGGAAGATTAATCTTCATGTGGATCTCCAAGGATATTCTCAATAAGATCAAAAAGAAAAAGAGGTTGTGGAAAAAACTAAAGGCTCGTCCATCAGAAGCCCTTAACCGAACGTTTAAAGAGTTACGAAGATTGGTTAAACAGCTGATAAGATCTGAATATAAAAGATATCTACATATATAAAGATATACAACTCAGGGGCGTGGCCAGGATTTTTCTGGAGGTACGCACAATTTTCCAAATCTCCCCCACCCCCGACCCCTAAGTCTCAAATCTTTTCAGCTGACTTGATTAAAGGTGAGGTTACGTTGTAAGCCTATAGCATCGTTACTGTACATGAAATGACAACTAAGTCGTAAAATTTTTTGTGGCCTTTTTTCGGTTCATCATTTGACTGCAACACCTCAAAGACAATCGCTGATTGTTTATAAGCCAGCAAGCTTGTAGTATCTCAGACTTTTATTTACAAATGAGTAAAACAAGCACAGTTGAATGAATTGAGGCAAACTGTGCTTGTTTAAAATAACTATCTTTTATTTTTTGCTTTTTTGTTATTTTTCACATTTTTTTACTTTCGACTTTTTAGGGTACGCACCGTGCGTTGAAGTAGCTACGCCCCCGTATCTATCTACTATCTAATACTAATAAATCTTGTGGAGTTGATAAAATACCTGCTCATTTATTAAAGGAGACTGTTCTTGGAGGTGCAGTTCTTGTGGGTATGCTCTTCAATATATCTTCCAAAGAGCCAAGAGGTGGAATTCCACCAGGCCTCAGTCTGCAGAGTGTGGCAGAAAATTTGGGTCAGGGTGTTATTCCAGCTAATGTTAATTTCAAGGAAAATTCATTAAATTAAATGTTATTTAAATTCGGTTGGTCTACTATTGAAGATATCTTTTGCACAAGAAAACTATCTCTACTTCTTAAAATCTCTAATGGGCATTGACTGGAATATTTTTCTCGCTATGTGAACGATAACAAGGGTATAGAAAGGTGTTTTTTTCATCTTGTCACGAGCGTGGGACAAAGAAAAAATTCTGAGTCCCCATGAGGAATCGAACCTCAGACCTTCGGATTCCGCGCTCCGATGCTCTACCACTGAGCCACAGAGACTCCACGGTGAGCGAAGGTAGTCATGGACTCATTCAAAGCCTCAAGAAGGAATTATGATCTTATGACGTCTAAGAGCAGGAAAAATTTGGAATGTTCCATTCCAGTGCTTCTAGTCCCTAAGAGATATCTCTTCACAGAAGAGGTTTTTATGAGATCTCCAAAGAACTTAATGATACTGAAAATTGCTGCTGCTGAACATTTTGACATTGACTTACATTGCTTCTTCTTTTTCTTATTAACTTGTATTGATTAACAGTTAATTTTACTTAATCAGTTTTCGAATAGGTTAGGAATTGCCATCATGTGAACTTAACAGACTCAATTATCTGTAATAAATGTCAATCAATATATAAAGTGTTATTGATATTTTAATTATTATTATTATTATTATTATTGTTATTACTTACCTGGTGGGCTCTTTTCTTGGAACACAAAACATTCCATTAATATTTCAGTCTAGTTGTTGGGGTTTTCTGAGTTTCATATATAGTAACTTATATTATCCCAATATTTTTATTTTCTATAGACACTGGATTCTGTGAAGTTTCCCCAATGGTTTGATAACCTTTGATGTAATGCAATGTGGGAAAGAGGAATTGTTGTTGTCTAAGGATGTAAGGTTTTATTACATGATCAGTTCGATTTTCAGTTAAGAATAACAATTTGTTCAACTGAGTATGTTTTGACTTCCCAAGTCACTGTACTACCTGGTTGCTTTAAACCTTCACACCCTAACACCAATAAGAATAATTTATCCATACTGTTCTCTATAAATTTCCCATGGTGCTTTATTACAAGGAGAATTTGTTTTACAATCAAGAGCTTCTTTACAATTTGGTGATCATTTCCTTTATTCTTGTGATCATAGTGTTTGATTCAAGGGTGAGAATGTATGGAGAAATTAGAAGTCAGTCACTCTTAGGGGTTAAGGGTTGGATAAACTCCCATCTCAAGTAGAACTGTATTGACTAAGGTAATCCTAATTGTTATTGATCCTTTCCTGGAAGAAAATCTCGTAAAGATTAAGTTCATTAGGTCAAGATGTTTGCCTGATCTTCTTTCACTGACAAGAAGGCAAATTTTTGGTATACAAAGTTTGATGTTTGATGAACAGATTGTTTTGAAGAATACCAAATCTGCTCTCTTTTGATTAGGGGTGTAGGAAATTCAATGCCACTTACATGTACATGCATTTTGGTCTTCAAAAATTAATATGAGTGCCTTCTATATTGGTCAAAATAATCAACATTCTTTAAACATCTCAGGTGTTTATGATCTTTCAAGTTGGACTCTAAAATGAATATCCTCTTTTCTATGGAAATTAAGAATTTAAAAAGTATAGAGAAGGAGATTTGCAAAGTTCTTGCAGCTGAGAAGTCACTGCATTTGCTACTGATAAATCAAGGAGCTAAAGTGAATACCTATTATCCAACTGTAGATAATCTTCTGATCCAGTATGACTTTGACAAGTAGGAAAACCTAATTACAATGCCCAGGTTTGGGATGGTGACTGGGATTTGTAAAGTGGAGTTCATCACTTTTGACTACATCTCCCACAAATTGATTAAACAGCTTAACACCTTGCATTATGGTTTGATGAAAAGTGGAAAAAACATAAAAAAATTTATGGAGAAGGGAAAAAAGGCAGAGCACACTGCTTGTAAAAAAGTTTCTTCTGGGGTTCTAATTTTAAGAGTTTTTTTCTGGTTAGTGATATAAATTATATTTTTAAAATTGTTATTTTAGTTTTAAAATATTATAATATACCTAGTTTTATTTTCCTTGATACAGAGCCCTTATGGATATCAGCCTTCTCAAACTGATTGACAAGAAATTATTTTTTTTAGTTTCTAATGTGTTCCTTTCCACTTTGATTTCTCTACCAAAACATCAAAGTTCTTTACTCCCTGCACTTTGGGAATGTACTTATTCTAGATGACAACAAAAGTTAACATAAGTACTTTAACCCTGGAAATTAGGGCCTTAAACTTTTGGTTGCAGCTCTCTTTGTAATCACGTACAGTCATTATTTCAAGGGATGATCTGCCAATTCTGTAAGCACACGTAAACTGTCATCAGATGAAAACAACATAAAACAGTGAAACATCATTGACTGAAGGAAGTACTCAACCTGCATTTATATTGTACACAAAATTGTGATGATCATTGATAATACTTACTTCTTTTTTTTTTTTAAATACATAGATCTTGCTGAAAGCGACTCCATCTACACTAAGACAATAAAAGGAAGTGGCGGAGAAGATTTTAAAGACAAAACCATGTGAGAACATCTAAAAATGTTCCACAATTTGCATAAATTAACATTATTCATCTGAAATTTTTAAGTCTGTATTGCAGACAAATAAGAACTTCATAAAAATATAAAACAACAGAAATTGATCATTGCTTTTGTATGTTTGGTAGCTTGATCCTAGGAAAAATCTATGTACAGTTTTGAGCTGTTAGAAAATGCATTGATTTAAGCTGCCTGCATGGACAGGAAATTTTCAATTCACTTAAAGTTGTATTATCAGATCCTTGATCCTCAATTTATCATTTTTCAACTGTGTAAGATTGGTAAAGATGTAATAAACTGTGCTATAAAGTATGTACAAGGGATATGTGGAGATGCTCTAGACAATCTTTTAGGTGAACATCACAATGTTTGTTGCATGATAAGTTGAACTTAGAAACTTTTTTATTAATAATTTATGAGGTCATTTATGGTAGTTACTTCTATTTCTTAAAATAATGTTTGCCTTGAGGACTCAACCTCATCCTATTGTCTTGTGATAATTTTCTCCAGCAGTAATAATTTTTGTTGTCAGTACACCCTTCTTGTGCCATCTCTCTAAGAAGCCACGACATAATTTATTAATGTTTGAAATACAGATCTAATCAAAAATGTGTGTACATTCTGTTATAGATGGGTGACATGCTTTCTAAAATCACCTAAACAGAACTTAAGTTGTTAACACTCCTTCCTGCAACATCATTGTTAGAAAGAACATAGACCCTGGGAGTGGCTATCCCAACCAACTGATCTGCTGAAAAAGGTATAGGGCAGGTTGGGCACCTGATTCAAACTCATATTATCAGGAAAAAAAACACTTGAGTGGTTAAATATGGAAAATTTAGACCTGGGACATCTAGATTTCACTTCCTATGCTTTTTAAGCAATTGGGCATGTGGTCTTGCTTAAAGTAATATCATAAGCCATTCTGTACTTTTAAACTGTCTATATACATATATATATTTGATTGGATTTGCAAAAGCATGCCAGCTATGTTACAATTAAGATTGACATTCAGGTTCATGCCTTGCCAGAGCCCAGCTAATGGGTGAATACCCTGTGGTTTGAGGGTGGTTGAGAGTCCAAAGCAACAGACTTAGGAGGGGCTGCAAAAACCTGATGGCTAGGTTTCACCTTCAAGCCAGCCTGACAGAAGAAAATGTAGGGGGTTTAATGCCAAGGCTAGTGCTTGGATGCAGCGAAGTCACCAACCTATTCACGGATGGGTTGCAAATGACTCTGTGTGGAAGGCTCGGGGGGTGGGGAGGGTAGGTTTTTTGAAACCCCTTAGTCAACTAACATTTTTATTTTAAGGCTGGAAGGGGCTTGTCTTATTCATCCTTCGCCTTCGTTGCAAGATTGGTAGTTAGTCTTACACCGGTCACACCTCAGCCACTGGCCTAATACTTCATGGCGGGAGTGTGGTTAAATGTCAAAAACATGCTTCGGAGGAGGAGAGGACAATTTAAAAACCTGGTGGCTAAGTTTTTGCTTGAAGGGGGGCATCCGAAGAAAATGCAGGGGGCTATTTAACATCAAGGCTAGTGCCAGCCACCAACCTATCCAAAGGTGGACTGAAAATGACTCTGTCTGGAAAGCTCCGGGGGGTGGGAAGGGTAGGTTTTTTTTTTTTTTATAAGTCATGGAAGATTTGTTTTTTTGCGTAAAAGTGGACATCTTGGTTAAGTTCTTATGAGGCTGGGTTTGTTTCGGACTTTGTCCATTAATTCAGAGTCATACCCATGCTTTATGGCATCCTTTTCTTGTGGTCGTGATCAATTTGGCTCGGCGTTCAATTTTGAATGTTGGATACTTTGTTGAAGGAGCCGAAACGAGACGACACAATAGCGTTGTCACAAATATGAAACGCCTGCGACTGATACAGCTTCCGCTAGCTACACGGTTTATAACTCGAGACACGGAAACTTTTAATTTACACTTAAGCCGTCTACCCATGCATTGAGTTTGACCTAGTCGATCGTTTTGAGCTTGTTGCGGATCCCCATAAGCTTAGCGAAATCCGTGATTAGTATGGAAATCGCTCGCCATGCTTAGAGTGGGTGCAAGATGAGGTACGGATTCCCTTTAGACATGCTGAAGTGCTCGGGGTATTTTCATCAGGTGACATCGAATTATTGTGAGCCCTGATTACCGTTTCGTCGAAATTTGCGGTAATTAGCAGGCCTCGGGGGGTGTTTTTTGTTTATAATTATCACCTTAACATGCAATGTCGATGTAGTTTAAAGTAGTTTTTTCATTCAAGCAATGAAAATCTCAAGAGACAAAACACTGAAAACAAAATGGGCTGGATTTGAGCGAAGGCTAGACTTGCGCGACCATCGTTTTTTTTTTATTATTATTTTGGGCTCGGGCACCCAGTTACGCTAGAACTTTCGATTAGCGGACCTGAGACCCCAGGCCTAAACTGTTGACAGTTTTAGCAGAGCATTGACGTAAATTCTTCGCATCAGCAAGTTTCGTAGTTTCTGAGAATTATCTAGAGTTTACTTCGCTACCGTGTAAATCAAAAGTTCTCTCTGACAGAAGGGCATCTTTGCCTTATTTCATTTTCACCTGCCAAAGTATCTGGGCAGGGAGTCGGTGGACGTGGCACAGCAGTAGACATTGAAATTGGTAAGATATCGTAATTGATGAGATATAGTTTTCTGTTTCACAATTCAAGATGGCAAGTTTCGAGGAAACAGAGTTCGAGATAGGAGGGAGTGATCTAGTTGCAAGTAGTTCAAGTGATGATGAAATTGGTAAGTTTCACAATTAAACACGAAGATTAGGTATTAAGCAAGAGAGGATTAGGTATCCTCTTTGTATAAGCCAAGTACATATAATACGCCGGCTCCCTCGGGATCACTTATTTTCATCATATCTAAGAGTTGCCACTGATTCTCTGTCGTACAGACAGACATGACAACGGGAATTGCATCAAATTTTCATTTGCTATTCGGGCTTTAGTCAACGAGTATAACATTTACCGGTAAATGTGACGACGAAAAAACGGGCGTTAGAAACTGGTTCCATTAAATACTATTACCATTGATTAATTCAGAATTCAGTTTCTTTAATGCTAAGTGAAGCGGAATCGTTTAGTTCCAGACCTTCGATACAGCAAAATATGATAAATTAGATTTTTTAAAATAAAAGTCGTGATCAGATTTCAAGGTACGGGGCGTTAGAGAATATGCTGCGAGGAGCTCTCAAGTGAAAAGATATCATGATTCTGGTTAGTTTTCGCCAAGAAAATAAGAGTAATTTCATGGACACTGTTTCGATGTCGCAGTATCATGTTACAAGCAGCAAGCAGCAAGCAGTGTTAGAAAATTTCCCCTAGATTTCAATTTCACTTCTAATGCACTAACCGTATATGTGGACCTCAAGAGAGCTTTGTCCGTGTTTATAATAAACACGGACAAAACTCTCTTGAAGTCCACATATACGGTGAGCCGTATATGTATATATATAGGAAGTCTGTGCTTTTCCGCTGTACAGTGCTCTAAACTTATTGGATGTACCGATTTGTATTGTGCTAGTTGTTCGCACCTATAATAATCTACATAGACTGTAGTCAAATGCGTCAATCTGATCAGCTCTGAATTTTTTGTTTTTGATTGGACAGTTCAAGACGAACAAGGGAGTGAGAAAGTAAACCACTGTTTCTCAGAGCCCTGGGGAGACAGTGATTTGATTCTTGTCGTCGAAGATGAAAAATTCCATGTGCATCGCCTGATACTAAGTTTGAACTCACCAGTGTTCAGGGCCATGTTCAAATCTGAATTCAAAGAAGGAAGTTCCAATGAGATTCCTCTGCCGGGGAAAAAAGCCGATGAAATGTTGGACTTTCTGATGAAGATTTACGGACCCCAGTACATAAAAGAGGAAGTGGAAATCACAAGTAAATAAATTTTTATTATCGGTACTATCATAAATACTTTTTAATCGATATTTAATAATACTATTATTTTAGAAAATTTACACAGGAAGTGCAAGGGGTGTAAGATGCTACGATTTTTCTGTAGTTTACCAACCTTTCACGGGTGCTTGTGATGTTATTTGAAAAGCGATTAACAATAACAAGAATGAAATTTCACGAAGTTAACCAGTTTTGAACCTGGTCGGGCAAATTTGAAGGAATTGTAGGGATGTTACTAAAGCGAAAATGGAGAAAATGAAATGGGAAATGGAAAATGGAAATTTTCTGTTTAGATTTATTGTTCATTATAAACATTTTCCAGCAAAATTTATGAAACAAAATAAATTGATGATGGCGAAAGAAGTTATCCCGATTTGTTACGTCGCTATTTGAGGCTTAGCGAGTAACGAAAATAATTTCTTTGATAGCAGGCAACTAGTTTTCCTAAGGAGGGATTAATTTTGATGAATATCAACAATCGAGGCTCCGGTCGGGTGTTCGACTTTAAGGATGAGATTGCTCATATATTGCGGGAAACCCATGGAAGCCGCTAGCTTTAAAAGTGAGGCAAGTGCTTTGTGTCTGATCAAGAAAACCACTGAATGCATATATATATAAATGTGGGGGTAGAGTCTACCTTGGCATAAAGTGCTCAATACTTTGATAGCGGAGCTAAGTATACATAAGTTAAAGAAGAGGACGCATTGATTCTCTGTAACTCTGAGTTTCGCGCCTAAGCGCTCGTCAGACAGAACTTTATTCAACGAAGAACAGAAGGATAAATATAGCAACAATAGCTCTATAGAATCTTTATTTCACGCATAGATTAGATCATCACACTAGGGAATTAATTAGCTACTTATCTAATTTGTGTATAAGGAGGTATGTTCTTCGTTGAATAAAGTTCTGTTTGACGAGCGCTTAGGCGCGAAACTCAGAGTTACAGGGAATCGATGCGTCCTCTTCTTTAACTTATGTATATATATATATATATATACACACAGAAACCTCTGTGTATATATGTATGTATATAGGGAGTCTGCAAGTCGATTTTCGCGTGGAACAGTGCTCAATACATTGAAGCAGAGCAGAATAAATATTATGAGAGGAAAAAAGGACGCAACTACAAGCCTGTTTCGTGAATCGCTTCAACCCCTGAAGAGTGAAGCGATTCACGAAACAGACTTGTCGGGAAAATGTAGTTGCGTCCTTTTTTCCTCTCATAATATTTATGTATGTATATAAATATATATACATCCGCATGGGCTGATTCCGGCAATATGCATGCACCTCGGTACTCTCATTTTTTGATGATTATCCTTTGACTCCTGCTTTTTTTGTCTTAGTGGAAAACGTTAAACAACTTATGCAGTTAAGTGACGAGTATCAGGTAACAGAACACATTTTCCAACCTTGTGTGGAGTTCCTTGAAGACAAACGTAAAACCAAGGAAAATGTCATGCAAATTCTTGCGCTTGCAGAGTTGTATGACTTGGAGGAAGTCCGTGAGGACTGCAACAAACTGCTTTGTTGTCTGAAGCTGGAGACTCTTTCTGAAACCGTCCAGTTTGAAAATGTCGGGAAGGATGAACTAGAGCATTTTCTGACGCAGAGGATTGACGTGCTGGAGGGATATTTAGAGGAATTGTATCCACAATTTATGGGCCTTCTGGAATGTTGTTTGTGGTTGTGGCGTCATGAGAAAAATCGGCGCCTGGAATTTTGTCCAACTCATTTCAGCGGCGGAAGAGCGAATTGCAATCTTGATAGGGATATCAAGAAATGTGAGGCTTGTAAAAAAATGCTTTGTGATTTGGCTTCATATACCCTCCCTGACTATCGGTCTATTAACTATGGTAAAACTTATTGCAATTCCGCCTCGCCCAATCGTTATCATTTTGACAAATGTTTGCCAAAGGTAGTTCAGAAGTATTCTCAGCTTATGACTGAATGACGGTACTATGTCTTTCTAAGAACTAACTAAGAACTTATTTACAACGAACTCACTAATAAGATTCGGTGTGCATTTTCGTTGACAAGTACGAAAATAGTGTGTGTTAAGATGAATTTTTTTCAAAAAATACCTGACAACTTGAACTGTAAGCATATTCGTGGTTTTTACAGAGTCACCAAGAAATGGGTTCCTCACTACTCGGAAACAAATTTAAATAAGATTAAAGCTCCACTGCAGAGGTTTAATGTAGTGCCTAGGAGAATTTTTGTGAAGCATGTCTTAATGAAAGGTAAATTGACGGGGAATGTGCAGTTTTCATCGGTGACATGGATTGTAAACAGGGAAAAAAGTAAATTTGTGTAAAGTAGACAATAGATGTGGATTGGTAAAGTAGATTTGTAACATGTGGCCCATTTTATTGAATATGCATTTGCAAAATATATACTGATTAGGCTACTTTCTGGACTTTTTACATAAATAGTTCACTAAGGAATTTTCTGAGAAGAATGTATCAAAGAAGTCATCGTAAGATTTTATACATGCTTGGGTGCATTTATCTGTGATCTGACTATTGGAAAGCAATTGTATAGCGAAACATTTTTCATCCAATAGCGCTCGTTGCGCTACAACTTGATAGGTGCTTAAAACGCAATAAAATATATCTGTTAAGTAGAATTAGTTAAGGGGGGGGGAACATCTTCTATTTTAACTTTAAATGTTTTCTGAATATCAGTAACACCAATTAATTAGAAAAATTTATATCTGCTGTATTTTTTATGTATAGTACAATGGATATTTTGTAGTATAGACCACTTCCGACTTCCATAAAGCCTTCTCCTCAAAAGTGATTCAGTAAAATCACAATGTCATTTTCTTATTAAACACTGCACAGTTATACCCTCGAGCTCGCTCTACAGCAGCAGGGCTCCTGACAGCAGTTAGGGTTTGAGGCCACCTCAGAAATGGATCGTCAAGGTATACCTAGATGCAGAATTATTTTCAACGAGCGAACACTCAGCTCTCGATGCCTGGTTGACGGAGCTGAAGCGAGATAATGCTATATCGTAGGCACAGAACAAAGATGCCTGTGACAGAAACAATTCCTGCTCGCTGGCATGCACGGTTATCTTGAGACACGGAATCTTTTCAATTACCTTTAAACCGAGTTCTTTCAATCCATTGAGTTTGACATGGTCGGACGTTTGAACTTTTGCTGGTCCCTATCAATCTGACGTCATTGTTATCGTTTGCCATTCTTACAGTGCGTCCGAGATGAATGATGGATATCCTACACTGGAGCACTTTGACAAGGCAATGTCAAATCATTGTCGGTCCCAAGTCCCGTCAATTAACCAAAAGTTCCGGCAATTAACGGTCTAAGAAGCTGTTTTTGTTTTGTATTGTTTACATTCAAGAAGGTCACGGTATTTATGAAAATTTTTCTGTGAATTAACGTGCCGGTTGACTCCATCAGTTTTCAATCAAAAACTTCTTCTGATTTTGCCGCAATCAGTTACTTTTTCTTTTCTAGTTACATGAGTGACCAGAAAAGGCTATGAGTAAGGTGAATCCACCATTTTGACATGATTGAATGTAAAGTTTATTCTGTTACTTGTTTTGGTGGAAAATGTGGAACACTTGCTCAAGCTTGCCGAAGAGTACCAAATCAAGACAGTCCTTGACCTGTGTGCCAACTTTCTCAGGGATGAGCCCAAAACGGAGGATAATGCCATGAAAATTCTGCTTCTTGCTCAGAAATACAGGCTGAGCAATGTGGGAGACGACTGCCGGATTCTGCTGGCGCAACTGAGTCTACAAAGGCTGGAGAGATATGGAGAATTCTCAGATCTTAACGGCGAGAACCTATATTGCCAATAACTCATCTTGTGGATTATACAACGGGTTATTCATTGAGGTGTAAGCTTTCAAGAAGGAAAACTTGATACCGCTCATAAGGGATAGAGAATTACTTGGTCTTCTCTTGCTATTGTCACGAAACGTTTCACTACGCCCTTTCCAGAGATAATGAAGTGCGTGTTACGCAATCGATCTGAAATCTTGTACTGAGTTTCCACGTAAACGTGATGCACTTCGTCAACCGCCAGAAAGTTTTCTAAGATGGCATGCAAGATTCTCAGTGAGCACTTATGTATCAACAAGGTTCAAATCTCAGTTTAAATAAACGCCAATTTTAAATTCCGCGGACTCGTTCGTTCCTTGATGAGAAGACGAGCTAGTTCCGTGAACTGGAACTGGGACAAATTTATCCATGCCCATTCCAAATAAACTGAAACGAGAGCTCTCCTAGGAAAGACATCGATACTTTTCAACTTGAGAGTTGAAATTTTTTGGGGGGAAGAGAATTTAAAACAGTATATCTAGATTATGAGCGAAATCCGATTCATGCAGGTTGAATTTTGCTTTACCCATGTCATCGGGTATTCTAGCAACTTGATAATTCATTACAAGTAAAGCAATAGGTGATATAGTTGTGCTTAAAATACTTTCATTGGTTGCTTTGTTCAGATCTTTTTATTTAAAACCCAAATGAATGATGTTATCCTTCATTGGCTATAGAAGCACCTAATAAAGTATTTGAAGCTATGCTTTGATTCCAAAACCAAGTCGTTGCTGTAAAAGCAGGCACAAACAACGATCTGCTCATCCTGTACCGTCTGTTCGGTGGAAAGAGATGTAAATTTCCACATTATAAGCAAATAAACCAAACCACTGAAAAAAATACATTAGTTTTACTGTTGTGTCTAAGACATGGATATCGCTAGAAGAATATTGTTATCATCACTTGATATCGCCCAATACTGTTTAACACAATTACTTCGAAACAGCCAAACTTCTTTGACCCAAAAACAAAAATCGATGCCGTGAAAACATTTCTTAAATTTGTTGTAAGTCAAGAGACCATAGTTTGTGTTTCAGAGTTCGGCAGAGGAGTTGCTTCGTTCAAAGAAGTTGAGGGAATTTCTTAATTAAACCAGGTTGCCGCCCTTATTTTCATTGCGGTTATTCTCTTAAAAATACAGCTGTTGTAAGAGTCTGTCATAGATAACTAGAGACTTTGTTATGAAGCGTCAAATGGCTATCTCCTGAGGCTCATAAGCTCTTTAAATGATTCACTTTGAATGCTCGTGTCTCCAAAATTACTCGCGTCAGCTAATAACCTATCGAATGTGACATGGTTGCCTAACAAGGGAGTTCAGGCAGTAAGTTACTGCCCGAAATTTAACATTTGTTGAAAACACACAGATGAACCAAAAATATGTAACCACTTCCATTCTGTTCAGCCGTTTCATAAAATAAGAATATGAAGCTAATCTATGAATTCTTCCTTCTGTTGAAGGCGTCAAGGGACTTCCTAATCATGGAGCGGCTGGAATACGTCGCTAAAATTAGACATAGTGGCCTTGTAATTTCCTTGTAATTATATAAGTTTCAAGCGCTAATTTTGAAATGGAACTGTTTCGCATGGGATTTCAATTTTTGACATTCCAAATATCAGCGCATTGTGAGATAAGTCTTACAATCAAACTGAAATATCATCAGAGTAATTATGCGGGACAAATGTTCAAATTGTTTCAGAGAACTTTAGCAGGATCATTCAACCGAGAAGGATGCTACATATATAGCGAGAAAGATCCCTAATGGGGGCGAACCATTAGTCTTTAGCAATTTGAGGGGTTGGGTTGGATATTTTTGGTGAGTGCTAGACACAAACATAAATATATCGAGCTAAAATACGAACCTATTATTCTAAAAATGACATCACAACTCTAAACCAGACTCCCTAACAAGAAGTAAATATAGCGCTCAGTTCCCAGAATTCCACTGAAACTTAAGCGTAATCTTGCCCTTACCACGACACTATTTTAATCAGTTTAATTTTGTGTGCTTTCTTTGTGACATCACGACCTCAAGTTTTATGGCCTCGAACACCGTCTCAGCGACAAGAATAACCAGAAGTTCAGGTACTATTTTTTTCCAATTTCGGCCTACATTACAGCGTGTTTTAACTTGCCTTTATAATCATCTAGAACCCTGTTCAGGCCTCGTGGGAATTTACTGGGATACTGCTGTGCGCAGATGTCTTAATTAGACGAAAATGGCCCATTTTTCGGGATAATTGTTCTTTTATTACTTAATACGCTCAAACCATGGTTGAATTACGTTCACAATTACTTTAGATCGAAAGTGTACCATTTTTTTTCCAATTTTGGCCTACATTACAGCATATTTTAACTAACCTTTGTAATCATTTAGAACCCTGTTCAGGCCTCGTGAGAACATACTGGGATACTGCTGTGCGCAAATGTCTTAATTAGACGAAAATGGCCCATTTTTCGGGATAATTGTTCTTTTATTGCTTAATACGCTCAAACCATGGTTTAATTAAGTTCAAAATCACTTTAAATCGCAAGTGTACCATTTTTTTCCAATTTTGGCCTACATTACAGCATGTTTTTACTAGCTTTTATAATTATTTAGAACCCTGTTCAGGCCTCGTGAGAACATACTGGGATACTGCTGTGCGCAAATGTCTTAATTAGACGAAAATGGCACATTTTTCAGGATAATTGTTCTTTTATTGCTTAATACGCTCAAACCATGGTTGAATTACGTTCACAATTACTTTAGATCGAAAGTGTACCATTTTTTCCAATTTTGGCCTACATTACAGCATATTTTAACTAGCCTTTATAATCATTTAGAACCCTGTTCAGGCCTCGTGAGAACATACTGGGATACTGCTGTGCGCAGATGTCTTAATTAGACGAAAATGGCCCATTTTTCGGGATAATTGTTCTTTTATTGCTTAATACGCTCAAACCGTGATTGAATTACGTTCAAAATCACTTTAAATCGATCATTTTCGACCAGCTCATAAATCAAACTGGAATCGAACGGGATGGATTGAATCCTGAACATTTCAATTATATCGTTCAGCTATGAGAACGCAAACTTTTTGCAGAGTTATGTGGTCGAAT